CGTTGCTTTCCGTTTTCCCGGCAAGATTCCGGCTAATTTTTCAGCTTTTGGATGTAAAAAGACAGAGACTTTTGGCTTTTTTTTTTTTTTTTTTTTTTTTTTTCTTTTTTACTGTCTAGATGCTGTCTCTTATACTCATCTAGATGTTTCTATATATCTTCTCTTGATCTTGTCTAAAAGGCAGGAAGGTATAGTTACTAGATATGTTTTTTTTTTTTTAATATGAAATGATTTATTATATAATAAAAAATAATATTTTCATTTCCAAATTTATCTCCCTTCTTCATAAAATTTAAATTAAAAATTTTTAATATAAATACTCAAATTTTAATTAACTATGGACACGTCTCTTGGGACACTGTATACATGTGTCTTGCTACATACTATAATTGGAGAACTAATCATTCAACAAGAGGACTTTGCAAGTTGCGACAACTTTTGGTTCTTATTTGTGCCTTAGGTTCATAGACCCTCCTCTTCTTCCAGTACAGTTCGCAGTTTCATTGGGAGTAACGACATGTACTAGGATTGTCTTGCAATTAATCATCCAAATAATAAAAGTCCCCCGCTTAGTTGTAAAGAGTAATTAGATACTCATTTTAATCATACTCATACAAGCACTTTCTGCTTGTTCTAAAATGGACCATAATTAAATTCATAATTAATGCTTTTATTATACTCCACTTAGTCAGAATCCCTTACATGGTTATTACACCAGTGTAAGTTTTACACGGGTGTCATCATGACATACATATATAATGAGTTTTGTTTAGAAATTTCACAAAATTACTATGCATATGTATATATGTATACTAACCACTATTATAACCCAATAATCACAAATCTTTTAAGAAAGGTGGTGATATCTAAAAGTTTAAGATTTAAATCTTGATAATTCCATTTCTCATTCCCTTAACTGTACTAGTTCAAATATATATATATATATACATATTGATTTTACTTAGATTAAAATAGAAATCAATAATCACAAAGAGTATAAAATTAATTTTAATTTAGAATTTACATTGATTTCACATATATTAAAACCAACTCATTAAATTAAATTGTCAAATATAAGAGAGATTAACTGTATATTTAGATTGAGTAGGATAAAAGAAAGGGAAATGAAGGGAAGGAAATTATATCATTTCATTCGCCTCTATTTTTTTTTTTATTTAGATAAATAATTAAATTAAAAAAATAAGATAAAAGGAAAATTTCCTCTTCCTTCACTTCTAATTTTTTTATAACCAAATAAAAAAATTTTTTCTTCTCACTCCCGGTCGTTTCCCTCAATCCACTCACACCATAAGTGATTAATTAACCCATGGAAAACTGAAAATAACCATATATAAAGTAACCATAACCCAAACATCAATCAAATTTACTTGAAACTTCAAGATTTAAGGGAGTTAGAAATGTCAATAACTTTAACTAGTTTAATAATAATTTCTTTCAAGTAAAAGTAAGAGATTATAAATTAAGTTGCATAATATTTTAAAAAAAGGATTAAGAGATATGAAACGATAATCTACTATTGTACAATTTAAAAATAAATAGGTTAGAATTTAAAATGAAAGCATTAATTAAAGATAAATACCTGTATATATGGCATCCAGCATTGTGAGCTGACTAATTAATAATCAATTTTAAAAGTACAATTTTAATTACCAATATAATTCTAGTTTAAGCACTTGGCATTTTAGGCTAAATCACTACAAGTCATGATAAATGGTATATCCTAACTTTTGGATTAGGTTCGTCCTCTCTCCTCAAAAAATTGTAACTTATTCAAAAAAAAATTATAACTTTTGTGTTTGTTCAAAAAAAAAAAAAAACCTGTATATATGTGTGGAGTGGTAGATTTGGTGAGGAGAGAGAGTAATCTAATGGACCAGGCCCCAGGATGATATGTTTCAGAACTGCAAAATCTCCAGACAACAGTACATAGCCTTGGTTTATAGTTTTTATCAAAGCTATTTTTTCTTTCTTTTCTTCTCCCTTTTTATGTACATTTGACTAATTAATTGTAAAAAAGGAATATTGTGCAATTAAATGGGAGCAAATGTATGATATTGAGAGCTTTTATTTATTTAATAATTTTTATTGTAAAAAAAATGGTTCTTAATATAAACCCTATGTATATTATTACTGAGTAGATACTGTTGGATGAACTGTATGAAGTAGGCCAGGCGGTCCAGGCCTCATATTGCCCTGAGATATATCAAACCATGTACAAAGGTACAAACATGTCTGCCTGTCCGATTGCAATCAGATGGCTTCCCCTGCGGTGTCTGCACTGCAGTGATAACTACAGCTACAGTTATCAAACACAAAAGCATCGCACTTTCTCCATATATTATTGTACTCCATATAAAGTATACAGTACTGCACAGTTGCAGATGAAGGGTTATCAATATTGTTGCTGATTCATAACTTAAAATTGCTTTGTTTGAGCATCCATTGGACGATCTTGGCACCAGTTATTGAACCTTTAATTTCTTTCTCATGCTAAAACCTCTGGACTGGATCGATCGGTATACGTAGTAGTTTTCCCCAGAGACTAATTGATCTGAAAGAATATTAATTCAAGTTCAACCACTTGGATTGCTACAGATACACGATTCTCAGAATCTCAGATTGATGGAGGAATTAGGCGGCCCTTGGATTGGGTCTCTCTCTCTTTCCCTTTCTCCATTGCTGGAAAATTTTGGAGGATGGATTTCCATTGGCTGGGAGCTGTGGGCTGGGGCCTGGTTCTGTTTTGTTCTTGATATTTTGTTCTAGGTTTGTTTTGAGTTAATTTTTTCCACTTTTAACTAGACATTTACATTCAATTTGTTTGAAACTTTCTCTATATACCCATCTTCTGCAATTCTAAACTCAGCAGTATATTTTTAAAATTGACATTGATTGATAGTTTTTTTATTTAACATATTACATAATATATTAATTAAAAATTTATTATTTTTAATTTAAAATTAAATATAAATAAATTTTTTTAAAAATAATTATATAATACACAAAAATTAATTAAATTAATTATATGTCTCTTATATTTTATTTTAATAACTAAACTAAAAAATGTTAAAAAAAATGTTAAGTCAGAAAATACACCAATCATTTCCCTTTCAAAACATATGCACGCGTGAGAAAATTTTGCCAAAGTAAACTTAAAAAGGTGTCTGGTTTTTGATAGAAATTAAACCATGTGATATGTTAGGACTCTGAGGTACTGATATATTTAATTTAGTCGGCCACAACAAAGGAGGTGGGTGTAATTTACAACATTGATGACTAATTACTAAAGTTTGGTCGCTCCAGCTTTCTGCCTTTTTCTAACTAAATTGAACTGAGCTTTCTGAAAATTTACTCCCCAGATGTATTGCAATATTTTTTTTTTAAGTTTTTTATTTTATAATTTAGATTGCATTGATAGAATAAAAATTATTAAATAAGAGAGATAGTTTTTAATGTTAAAAAATTTACCTCATTTAATAATTTATATTGTGCAATATAAATTTTATATAAGGTCTTTAAAGGTGTGTTTATGATATTTTTTTAATATTAATTCATATAGAAATTACAAAAATAAATTTGATTTTCAACTTCAATGTCACATGTAATTAACATTTAAAGTGGAGAATTCACAAAATTTAAGTCAATTTTTTATATAATATAATAATAAAAACATATAATAAATATACTTTTAATTTCTATTATAAGAACACAAATTAAAAAACTCGTTTTTTTATATATTGAAAATTTTAATTTCTTATTCTTGGTGGAAATAGGTGTTTTAATTGTTCGAATATTGTGGACTTTAGCGAAAGGAAAAATTTACCACAAAAGTGTTGTCATTGTGAGACTCTCGAAACATGACAAAAGGCCAAAGTTACTGGTGCACCATCCAACACGTCTAAGATTTTTCATTTTCCAGCTATATAATATTATTTTTTTTCTTTGGGTACGAAAGGTATTCATCAAACCTATGTACAATCACAATTCCTTTTTTGCTGCATGCAGTACTTCAAGCCCTATAGCCATTGCCGCCCCTCACAGGAAGTACACACCCCTTCCCCGCTACTTGCACTCTTTTAAACATTCTAAAGGATTAAGCAGCAATCATTCAACGAGAATACATCCAAGAGACTGTTAGTGCTTACTAAACGAGAAATTAGTGGTTTAATTAAAATAATAGAGGCTTGAAAATATAAATTCAAAGTCAAGGTTTTACACCGATAATGGATACTAGTAACTTAGATTAGCTAATTAGGGCAATTTTTTTTAATTACATTAGTATACATCTTAATTTGGTGCGGCTATATAACTATTCATAAATTCATATTTATACAAACTAATATGATGGCAGAAACGATGGGGGAGGGCCCTCCACAAAAGAAGGGTGAGGCATCCCTTTCAGTCATAAAAGACCCAAGCAAATTGTATTAAGATTCATTTCTGAACATGATATAATTTCTGGAATCAAATTCGATCAGTACAAATTATATGAGTGGGTCAAAAAATGAAAAATATAAGAAAAATATAAAGTTACTAAGATGAAGGGTACCGTACTAGATCTGACATGATATGCTTTTTATTGTACCCTTGAAAATAATCGTCATATCAATCCTTTGTGGAAAAGCCATGTATTTGCATCCTCCCGTGATTATTTTGTTGATCTAAAGTTACATTTTTAATTTTGTAAACAAAAAAAATATATTTTTTAAGGGAAATAATAAGTTCAGTAATATAATTCCCTGCTTATATAATCATAGGCATCATGCATGGTTTGGTTTTATATTATTACGTTACTAGTCTTAAAGATTGGTTGGGCGCATGTGCGAGCGGAGCTATAGACATATATAGGGCACACTTGATCGAATATGTTGTTGCCATTGCTTGAGCTGTTGTAAACACCAAAAAAGAGATGACATTAAACAAATTAGCCGAAAGGAAAGAAAATAATTAATCAACAATGAACAAAAACACCCTACCAATGGTCATTCAATTTGCCTTCCAAATAACTTATTGTTTTAGATCCTTTTCATACGCAACTAGTTTATTAATCATTGAAGTACCTATATATGCTCCTTTTTCTTTCCTTTCCAGTTTCGCCCTATATCTAACATATTGGTCCATTTTCACCTGCAACATATATATTGTAATAAGAGATAAGAATTCACACTTCTTTTTCCTCCTTTCCTAATTTTTCCGGATTTCTCTTTATAAACCAGTCATTTGCTAATTATAACTTAAATGGAATGACGCGTTACATATCCACCTTATTTTTTTTCATTCATAATTAAGATGTTTTTTTTTTCTTTTTTTTTTTTTCTTTTTTACTGTCTAGATGATCTTCTTATTATTTGAGATGCATAAGCTTCCATTTGCCAAATCCACAATAAAAGATTAGGGTATAATTTTTGTAGATATATTTTGGGATTCAAGCATTAAAGCATTCATAATTTTCATGACTAGGTGAAGGTGGAGTGACATTGAAGTATGGAATAAAAGCAAAAGAAGAAGCCCAAAAATAATAGGCAAAAGGGGAAAGAAGCTTAAGTAATTTGGGTTTGTCCCAATTCTATTCCAAAAAAAAAATATTTTTGAATAGGTGGGGGGTTGTTACTTATTAAGTTTAGATATTTATTATTGTTAAAATGTTAAAAATGGGCTAGGGTTACAATGTTACATTCCTCTTCCCCTCATTATCAGTCCTAAAACTTAGGGTTTTAAGCCCAAACTACCACCACTCTCCTACAACCGACGTTCACCATACGTTCCAATGACAAACGTTTTCCGTGCAAAAGCATCTTTAACACCGCAGAATATTGCGATGGACTATTAAATGCAACCAAAGGGGAGCGCATGCAACATACGCGCTTCAGAGTGCGGTCACTGTTTCTCTAGGGTTTTCCCTTTCGGACATACAGACATAATGGATTGTGATAAGACCCGCACCTTCCGAACACGTGTGTCCTCGTCATTGGATGCTTTCCCGCCCCACCCTACGCTCTCATCCTCACATGCATGTTGATCTCATACATGACATGCATGTAACATGATGACGTGGCATGGGATGCTCCTTTGGTTTCCCCCAGATGATTTTAATACAACAATACATTCTTCAGACTTCAAAGACAAAAAAAAAAACAGATAAAAACTCACTTTCTCCCTCCTCTTTCTCTCTCTAAAAATTCGTGAACCTCTCCTGACTCCACTAGGTTTTCGTGAAACTTCGCAGTCTAATTCTACTCGGCGAGCTCTGAATCAAGTCCCGGAGCTCGTATCTTCTTCTTCCTCGCCGGGAGTTCTATCCGATGATGCCGTTTTCTCGAGTCGCCGTTCAGAATCGGAGCGAGGTCGATACGAGCATACTTCTCCTGATAGCTGGAGAAGAATAAGGTGTTTTTTTTTTTTTTTTTCTCTGATTTGAATTTAGTGTTTTGGATTTTTCAGTTTTGGATCTGTTTTGTGGTGATTAGTGTGAGTTTTAGCTGAGCTTGAGCTGGTTTATTGTTGATATTTTGATCAGTTTACTGTGTTTGGTACGTTGGTTACTGCGATTTCGTTTCGTTTTCTCATCTAGATTTGGAGATGCGGTTAATCTTTGCTCTTACAGTAATATTTTATGAGTTTTCGCGATTGTTTTCAAGTGTTTGGGGAATGAGATCCACTGTTCACTGCTTCCAAATTTGGAGGAAAGTGAAACCCTAGAATTTCATTCTGGGGTGATGAATACTACTTTACCATTGGTAAAGTTTGGAAATGGCTTTTTGGATTGTAGTTAATATAATCCCGCAATTAATATTACTTTTGTTATTGTGGCAAACTTTATTAGATTGTTAATTTATGTGATGAAACCCTAGTACGTGATTTATGTTATTTCTTTGTTTACTTTGTATTCTGAATGGGTGGGTTCAGCTAATTCATTTATTTTGATGTCATCAGCGTATAATACTTCCACTTCTAAGATCATTATGCTTGATTTCATGAACTGGTACCTAGGGTTTCTGATTTTGTTCCCTTATCAGTGGTATTCACCCGTGTTGTTTATCTCTTGTGTTCTTTGCTTATTTGTTCATGGAAATTGTTATTTTATGTGATAAATGATCACCATATGTAGGGGACACGCAAGCTTGTTATCGTTTTTATCTTAATATTGAGAACTATTTGGTTTTCACCTTTGATTTCCTAGGATATACAGATGGACCCTATTGTCGTAATTGTATGATTTGCTTAGTCACTTGATTTTTTTTCTTTTTTTTCCAGGTCTCTAGCATGCTTTAACTTTAGAACATATGCTCATAAATTCACTTGGTATGGGATTTCTCTACATATAGGACATTTGCAGTTTGGTGGCATTGGTAGCTCATAACATGGAGAGGACTGTTTCTGTAGAGGAGAACTATGAAAGTTGCAGTGCTAATCTTGTTTCCATGTTGGCGGGATCATCCATTAAGATTGATTCAATAGTTATAGATCTTGTCAATGCAAATAATGGGGTTGATGCAGAGAAGTGCAAGCATAATTTCTCTATACGGTAAGCAATGTTCAGTTAGAACTTAATAATTTAACAGCAATGTTGATATCATTGTGTTAATTGGGTATGTGTGTGTGTGTGTGTGTGTTACAAGAATGGGGAAGCAAGAGAGGTGGTCTTTCAAGTTTGATTTTAAGTTTTAATTCTACTAATAGAGAAGGAAATTATTAAAGGATGACTTTGATCTTGTTTCCTATTTCATGGACAGGTTTATTTTAATAAACACACTTTTTATGGATTTTTGTTTTAAACTAACCTCCAGTTGGCACCAAGGAGCACACAAGTGTTTGAAAATACAGGCTGCCAAGTCAATAATTTATACATGGAACTATGTTTGAAGAATCAAGTTAGACTTAGAGAGAAAGTGCATTTAAACAATAATTTGATATGTATGTATTTATGTGGTCAATAGTTCATGCCAATAGACCTCTTTTAGCAGTACTAGTTTACTGACTCACTGTAGCAAATTCATATCATGAGAAGTCACATTCAAAATTTTTTACTTTGCTCTAAATGCAGTGGGTATGTGTCTGAAGTTCGCAGCAAAGACTGGAAGAAATGTTGGCCATTTGCTTTAGATAGTGGCCATGATAACCCTGAGGAACAAAACTGTAAGCTTCCACCTTTAGATGTTCCAGAGTTCAGATGGTGGTCTTGCCAAAACTGTCTGCGTAAAGTTGGAGCCAAAGGTATTGCAAATGAAGATGGAGCTCTTGTTAATACAAATGGTAACCTCAAATCATTTGCCAGTTGTTGCCATAGTGATGCTACAATGCTGTTGTCAGACCTTCAGCAGGCTGCAGACTTAAAAATTCATGAATCAAGTAATGCTGATGCTAGTACTTCTTTAAATGGCAATTGCAATGGCTATCATCATTCATTATGTGGTGATAAGGGAGAAAAGAAAGCAAAAATTGCAAATTCCCTGATGATAGGTATATACTTAAATCCAGTCTCAATATATTTCTGGTGTCATTTGGTTATTTTGGCTATTGACGCATCATTTTTTTCTTTTTATCTAGGGCATGCTACTGGATCAAGAGATACCATGAAGGAAATTCCAAATGTTTTAAATTGTGCTGTAATTGAGGATATTCCTAGCCTCATGCAACAAAGATGTCAGACAAATTTAGGTAAGCATTATATGAATATATAAGACATCATCCAAGCTTGTGGCTGAAGTTAGAATAGAATTGTGGCATAATAATGACGCTTCTCATTTCTGCAACTGTAGCTTTCAGGTCAAAGTGGAATGGATCTCTGGAAAATCGCAAGCATGACTTGAAATATCAACAAGTCATTGATTTTACCCATGTAAACCTCAACCACATGGTTAAGAATAATGCTGATATGCTAAATAGGGTGTCAGATTCTATCAAGAATTGTACAAGTAATCATCCTTTCTTGGAATTGGATGAATGTGATTATTTGTCATCTGAAAGTGCAGAGATATTGCTTGGAACTGCTTCTGGCAATTCCCATCGCCGAAAAACCCGTAAGGTGCGACTGCTGACAGAGTTGTTGGGTAAAAATGGAGATGAAAGAACCAATATCATAAGGACAGAAAGTCCTCCAACGAATGACACTCCCGATGCATTTGCAGGAGAGAATTCATTTTCTGTTCCTCAAGGTCAAGCCACTATCCAAGGAAATGGTGCGGGTAGTTTTGGACAGAACAGGAAAAGAAAGCTCCCTGAAGACGAAGAGTGGAGGTCTGTTGAACAAAACTCTCCCAATAATGCAGGTAAGAAAATTAGGGGCTTCAACAAAAGTGCAGAAATCGTTGATGCAGTTGTGAGTTCTGATTTAGAAGGTGCACTTGCTGGAGCTGGTTTGGAAACTGGTTTAAGGAGCCATTTGATTAACCTCAAAATTGATGAACACCCTATTATGGGAAAGAAGAAAAATAAAAAAGCTCAGATTTCTGATGAATGTTTATCCTTGACTTCATCTCGAGTAGATGTGCAGAAAGAAACTCTGAAGAAGACTGGAGATCCTAGCAAGAGCAATGCTACTGATGTTGTTTTGTTCAATTTTGGAGATACTGCCTTTACAGGAGAGGGGGTCAACATTTTACCTCCTGTTGAAAAGACAGAGAAACAAACTAGTTTCTCTAAGAGGAAAAACATGATGCATCAAGATTGTGATGGACCTGGTTTTTCAATTCCTGAGAATAATAGCATGCTCAGAGAAAGTCTGACTTCAAGGCAAGGTGTAGAAACGAGAAATTCTGGGTCTATTTCTCTTCCACTAATGTCAGCAGGAGATTCATCAACAGAAAAAGGGCTGCATTTGTCTTTTAGGAATTGCTTTTCACCTCAAAGAGGAGATGGGAAATATTTTTCTTCAATCATGGATAGGCCAGCATCTTTGCCGCCTTGGAAAGGGGCCATTTTTAGAGAAGATGAAATTATGAGGAAAGATCTTAAGATGAATCATATGAGAGATTCTGCTTTCCCCTCTAAATCTGAACTAGATTCCTGTCTCATGCAAGGAGCCCATGTTGATCTCAATAGTAAGAGAACCTCCTATAGAACATCCTTCCCTAATGAGAAGCTAAAAATGCATACCTCTCAGGCTGAATTTGGGAGTTGTTCTTTGCTGCAGCAAATGGTATGAGATTTTCTTTTCTTGCTACAGTTGTTAGAGGAGTATCTGTTGTTCTGTCCTCCAATTTTATTTTTTTTGGCTCGTACTTCGTTGAGAAACCATGTGCTAAATGGTAGCATTTTGCAGGGGGCAATAAAGAATATTGTCTAACAGATATAAACCACATTTTTATGCTAACTAAATTCATTTTTGATGTGGGTGAACATTGTTCTGGATAGTTGAGAATGTTGCTTTGACTTTCATGCTTGAAATCATTGAAGAGGGAATTTATCTTCTTCTTCTTCTTCTTTTTTTTCTCAACACTATTTGTTTCACTGGAATAAGTGTCCTTAAAGATTACAGTATTGCAGCACCCCCAATGTCCCAGGACCTTGGAATTACTTTCTGCCCCCATGCTTGAAATAAAATGTAGATCTCTTCAGAGAGATTTTTTTATCTAGATAGTGTTGAATGTCATGCTGTTTCCTGAGTACTTGTTCATCCCAGGAAATCTTCCATCAGCTTATATCTGCAAACTCAAATGTTTAGCATTCTCATTTATAGTTTTTCTTCTTACATGCATGGCATTGATAGGCATAAAAGTTTAGAAAATTTTGCAAGTTTCCTATAGCTTATGCCTGAATACTTTATGGTTTATACCTGCTCATCTTCCTGTTTAATCTGGCTTAATTATATAAGTGTACGGATCTTACGGATCTGTTTTATTTTTGTTTTTTATTTTTTTTCATGGTCATTGTTCCTGTGGAAGCAATAAGAGTGTTTTTTTTTTTTTCCCTTTCTTGCCTATTTTGCAGCACTTTTGTGGCACTAGTAACAATATGAAAACTATGGGAAATCAGGAGAATTTGTTTGTTACCAGGAAACATGTCAACCAACGAGCTGAGATGGTGTCTGATCAGGGAACTTTGGATGACATAACCATGGAAATTGTTGAACTCATGGCCAAGAATCAGTATGAGAGATGCCTTCCTGATGCCAAAACTGAAAAACAGTCATCAATAGCAACCAACAATGCCAGAAATCATCAAAAACTGGATCTTAATAAAGCATATAGAAGTGGGGGGGTTAGCCTATTGCCAGGTGAGAGTGCTCACAAATCAAACCCTTGTACCAGTAATGGAAGGATTGGCAAAACTACTAAAGGTGATAATGTGGGATCCAGCAAACAAAAATCAGCTGATTATTTCCCCGAAGTAGATGGTAACCAATACAACATGAGCCAATTGGAGCAAAGCTGTGCTCCTACAGGGTTTCGACTATTTGCTCGAAGTGGAGAGAATCCATCAAATGGCCTCCAATTTTCTGATACCAGTTCCAGCAGGCATGGTAGTGCTCAGAATTGCCAGTGGATTGGGAATATGGTTGGGAACAGGCCTTCTCACAGTACCATGCAGGCATTGGTAGCATGTAATGCATGCCAGGGTGCTCCTCAACAGAAAGCAGCTCATCTTTTGTCATCATTGATGCCAAATAACCTGGCCTTCCTTTGTACTATTCCACAGAAGTGTGCAGATGAGTCAACCAACTCAGATGGGCATTCATGTTGTCCCAGCAACCTGCCCAGGGGTAATATGAATGGGGGTAATGATCGAAACTTTTTAAATCTAAGTACTTCCAACCTCGAGAGGTATAATAGGAAGTTTGACTCTGAAACTCTCAGAAGTACCCCTTCTGATTACCCATTTCCTTGCAAACATCATGGGGTGGGGACATTGGATCTCTATTCTAATGAGACCATACCAGCCATGCATTTACTCAGCCTTATGGATGCAGGATTTCAGTCAGGTGCTCCAGTTGATTTGAATGGAAACCAAAAATTCCTTAGGAGAGATTCATTTCTTCACAATCATCACTTTGAAGAGTTCCCAGACATGGCATCTAGTGGATGTAGGACCAGCAATGCCACAAAACACCTGGCATCTGATTGTTATGGTAAAAACCATCAGCTTGCAGATTTCCATGAACATTTAGCAGCCATTCCAACTGCTGGTGCTTCTACTTCATTTCAACATGATAGAACTTTCAAAAAGGACTCTGCTTTTCCTGTTCAATTATCATTAAAGTCACGGGATAAAGAGAAAACAAAGCACTCAGATTCACAAATACAGAATAGGAACCGGAGATCACAGAAAACTACATCTTCTAGCGGTGGCTTGAGCACAACTTGTGGATCTATTCCTGTTCATAGTATGCCAAAACTGATACTTGGCACAGCAAATTTAATGTTCCCCCCGCAATTTCCTGCAATGGATAATGCAACTAGATACAAGTTGGAGGCCCAAGCTGTGAGTAGGGATGTGAGTGGAGCTGTTTTGCCTTCAAAAGCCAGTTCTAAGACTGAAATCTGCAGTTTAAACAGAAATCCTGCTGATTTTACCGTGCCTGAACCAGGAAATGTATACATGATCAGAGGTGAAGACCTAAAATTTAGGAGGCCATCTGCCTTTGGGAACAGAAGTGGGTTATTAAAACTGGGTGGCCACAAGCGTCAGAAGAAAGTTTGCTGCCACTAAAGAGCATTCCTGAAATCAAACATCATGAGACAATCATTCACATAGATGCTGGTAAGTCCTTGGAACTTCTATTATCTCCACTGCTTCAAATTAACAACCTCTTCCTTAAGACGAGTTATAGGACAGCCTTTCTGTGTCAATCAAGCTGTCATTCGTTTAATTTCAGCAGGCATTTTCCAAAAAGTATTGCTCAGCAATGCGAAATGGTGATGACTTCTAAGCTTCGCAAAGTGCCAGCCAGCCAATGCAATAGTTGGAACAAAGATTGCAAAGTCCATATCGTTCTTTTGGACTATAGATTGTCTCATTGACATTAGAATAGGTACCAATGGGGCATTTAAAATTCCCAAAAGCCAAGCCAAGGAGGACATGTCAGGTGCAAGCAAGGTAAGGCCTTTAAATATTGCTAATGTCTTCACCTTGCATAGGCACACATAAAAACCTATTTAATTGGATACTGTATGTTGTTTTCAATATTTTTGTAAAACATGAACGCCCTTCAGCACTCATAATGGGGGCGGCTTATGTATTACTTAAGTTACTCAGCTTCATTCCCGAGCTCAGGAAGTGAGAGTGGAAGCAGATACTATGGATTTTATCAGGTGTTCTAATGTTCTGAAGCATAGGTTTGAATAACCCCTCCTAACGGGGTAATTATTCTGTGGTATTTTATAGTGTGTGAAAGAGAGTATCTTCTCTTTCTTTCTTTCTTTCTTTCTTTCTTTATTATTTTATTATTATTATTTTTTTCTGCATATTGATTAGTTGGAATAAATGAAAATTGAAATGCCTTTATTAGTTTTTTTGTTTTTTGAGTCTCATCTTTATTACTCCATTCAATTTTAATAGACCTAACTTTTAATTTGTGGTGTTTAAATTTAATTGTCCTCTTTTTTATTTTTAAAATATCATTTAATGAGTTTATATTTATTTTATTTTTATTTTAAAAAATAATTACAACATAAATTAAATAAAAAAAATATTATTTAAGTGGTAATTAGTTGAGACAAATATAAAATTTTATTAATTAATTATTACATCTATACTCCTTTTGTTATAGAATAATACGTGGATGTTTTTTGATTTAGAATTTGTGTTTATTTTTTTATATTTTAAGGGAGAACTCTTTTTTTTCTATTTTAACCGTTTAATTATTTCTTAAATTTGGTTTTCCATCTATCCTAAAAAAGTGTTTTTTTTAATTTCTTTTTTAAGGTAAAATAGTTAAAAAAAATAAAAATTGTACCTAAACCTTTAATTCAAGGATAAAATAAAAAATATTTATTATTTTAGAACAATAGAAGAATTTTATTCGACTAAAGTTAAACTGAAGGAATATTACTTTTATATTATTGTTATCATTCTATGATTTCTCTTTGATGAATATGCTTAAGGCTATTTGAGCTGCATTCTACTTTTTTTGTTTTGAGTATTTAATTATCATAATAATTGTATTAATGTTTGATAATTACTTGGAAAAAGTTTCATACATGAATGTAATTATTAAATTAAGTTTTTCTAGTTTATATTCTAAGAGTATGTTTTTATAAATTTATATAAAAAATGTAAAAATTAAAATTTATTTCGTATAGTTGTCATGTGAATGGATTTAACTGAATTGATAAATTGAATGTTAATTTTTATTTTTTAATATAAATTTATGATAAAAGTATATTTATTACATTTTTAACTTATATGTTTAAGATATTAAAAAAATTGTTCTGTTGTCAAATTTTTATTTAAAATTTACATCTAAAAAGTTTTAAAAAAATGAAACTAATTTATTAAAAATAAATGAATACAACATTGAATTATATAATATAAAATATCAAATAAATATAAGTTAATTATAATAAATTAACTTGAGAGATTGTGTAAAACACAGTCAAGGCCACTACCCGGAACGCAGCATAAACCTTGCACTCAATGGTTAAAATTGCAAGCGTGTAGAGGACCACTAGATACTACCCGTGGTCTCACAATGGGACATACAATAAAATAATTTATATTTTTAGTTTTATGAATTTTATTTTTTACATAAGCAATTATTTACTTTTAAAAATTAAATATAAATTAAAAATAAATATTAAATATATTTATGTAATTTTTTAATATATATCAATGTTTTTTAATAAAAAATTATGAAAAAAACTTTTCACCTATACTTATGTTTATTTTCACATATTAATTTAGAGTATCATTTATATTTTTATACAAATAAAAAAATTTTATAATATCAAAAATAAAGAAAAAGAATAACTTATAATGTGTTTTGATTGAAGAAAACGGAGGTGTAATGTTTTGAATCCCATATCGGTGAAAACTTGTGAGTAAGTATAACATATAATTATGAAAACCAACTACTATTAATAACTTAAGTTTGAATTTATTGTTAGACTTGTAGCAGATTTCAACTTAGGTCCTTTCAAGAGGGGAGGGGAAGATTTTTTGACCAATTAGGAGGGGAAGATTTTTTGACCAATTAAATCATAATGGATTGGTCAAAAAATCTTCCACTCTTCTCAACCCAAATATACTACTAATTAAACATTTCAAAGAGAAATGAGGAATATTAATGTCTTGAAAAAGAAGAAGTTATTACTTTTTTTTTCTTATTTTTGAGAAAAAAATAACAAAATTATATTAATACAACAAAAGAGAGTTTATTATGATGGTCCATGGAAGTGAACCCCTAGTACATAAGTAAGATAAAATGTAACCATAAGAAATGGACATTTATCAAAAACAACAAAAGTTAAAGAAAGTGATGTTCCCATCTTAAGAAGTTGGTTAGCACACATATGGCTATCCTTATTGACATATTACAATGTTGAGTTAAAACAAAATTCCTCATAAGTTCTCTACAATTCACAACATTAGAAACATTGGCAAATAATAATTGAATATCATAAAAAGAGTCAGATTTAATGTTAATTTTAGAAAACCCCTTGATAACAATAAAATTAGAGGTTATCATTTATATCTTAAAGTTTAACACTTATTTTATTAGTAATGCCTATATTCTTAACAAACCCCATAATCTAATCATCATTATGATCTTTGAAGATCCCTCCTCTGCCAATAGGTTTAAGAAAGACAACCCCCTTAATATTAATGTTTAATAAAATATAAAGAAGGTTTATGTCAGCAAAACATATCAAGTTACCTATTAGATAAATCAGATTAAATAGAAAATTTAACTAAAATTCAATAGTTTTATAAATAGTAAGAGAAATTTATTTATAATCTTGAAAATAAGAATCCTCATAAAGTTTGTCATTCTTTTGTTATTAAAATTTTCAAATAACAAAGGAAAACAAAGCAATCTAAGGAATTTTGAAATAGGAGAACATCCATATATTTACCTTATGTTTGGTTGAAGGGAAACAAAGTCCACTTCTCTCGTTTGGTTAGACTAAAATGTATAATAATAACAATAATAATGTAAGGAAAAACTTCTCACTTCCCCTCATTTTCCTTCCAATTTTTAATTATCCAAATAAAGAAGTTTCTCTTCCTCTCCTCTCCTTCAAACCAAAAAAGGCATTAGTGTCAACTCTTAATAAACCAATAAAATTAATAATAACATTCTCAGTATTCACAATAGGGATGATTTTGTACCAAATTCTCAATAAGTACGAACATTTTGCATGAGTTGATATAACTGCTTGGTTAATACACGAATCATTTTGCATGAGTTGATATAGTCAATTTTATAACTGGATATATTGTTCAAGTTATTATCTTTATGGAAAAAGTTTCGGTAGCTGAAATGGATTCAGCCCTTGCCATCTAGATTATCAATGAACAATGAACCCCAAATACACCCTTCTTAGCTTTGGTTGAAGATTGCAAGGCACTCATGAGACAGTTTGCTTCATGCATTCTCAAACACACCAAGAAAAGATAAATTCGGCGGTGAATCATATGACCAATATGGCTAATACCTTGCCTTTAGGTACCATTTACATCGATATAACTTTGCTGAAATGCTACCAATTATAATGAGAAATGTTGTTGGGGGTGTTCTACCCCATAATTAGCCAAGCGTAACCTTTGCTTTCAATTAAAATTTTTTTTGTTATTTTCAGGTGTATGATATACTAATTTAAAATTAAATGTTTGAAAATTAAGGATAGATTCGTTTAAAATGGGTCTACTAAATATTTCCTTCAAATTAAGTGAATGCTAAATTTTAAGTCTTATATAAATGAAAAATGCTCTAATCAAATTCCGCATAAGTGTATAAGGGTTTTTTGAAAGGTTCAAAATACTGTTTTTGACAAATAATTAAAATGTTAAGTGCTTATTAATTTTAATTAAATAAATATTAAAATTAAAATATAACAATAAACAAAACTCTCCCTCTCCTTTCTTTTGTTACTTTGATTAATAATTTTTATTTTAATACTTGAAAATAATTCAAAATTTTAGTTTTAATTACTAAGATTTTGTTTTTTTATTAATACAGTTCATGTAATTAGCCAAAATTTTTTAATCTTTTTAAGTAAAAAAATATTTTGATCTTTAATTATTAATCAAAGTAAAATATCTCAGTTAACTGAATTTTTAATTGTATTAATCTAATAAAAATAATTTTAAATATCAAGTAATTTATGATTGAACAAAATATGTTAATCTCCAATGATAAACAATGTAGTGAGAAAAAGAGAGAGAGAGAGAGTTTTGATTGTTATTTTTTAATTTTATAACAATTTATTTAATTAATATTAATTGATAAAAAGTTTATATTTTAATTATTAGATCATAAAAGGGTATTTTAAGCATTATAGAAATTGTTGATGCACTTATATATATTTTGCTACAGCATTTTTATTTATGTAAGATTTAAAATTAAAGCTTCACTAAATAATAATAAAAATTTAATAGACATATCATGGTGAAATTTTTAAAAAAATTAAAATCATCATAAATTAGCAAGTATATCTTTTAAATTAAAAATTGTAATTAAAGTTTGATTAGTTGGTTTGAGGGGAAAAAATGAAAAAGAAAAAGAAGAGTGCATGCTAAAAAGAATGCGCAGGGAAGAAAAGTGGAGGTGAATTAAATTTAATGAAGGATGATAAAAAATGTTAAGTTGAAATTAATGAATAGGGAAAAAAAGGTAAAATAAAATGGTAAATTTATCAAATAAAGAAAGTATTGATATATATAACAACAAAAAGGTATATTAAAAAAGGTTTATAAAAATTACATGTGACATGAATTTTTTTTTATTGATTTCTCTCTTAATGTATACATAGATTTTTGTAAACAAATCATCAATTAAAATTTATTTAACACTTTTAGGGACTGTTTGGTTGGGATAAGTTTTCCATTAAACTTTTCAAAAAATTTTCTTTTTATAAAGTTATTTTATAAATTAACGTATTAATGTTACAATAAAATAAAGATAAAAATATTTTATTTTTATTTTATGACACAATTTTTAATTTACAAACTTAAAAAATAAAAGTTTTTCTCAACTTTTCTTATTTCAGATTTACTTAATTATTAGTCTATAAACTTTTTTATACCAATTTCTTATTAAATATAAAAAAATTAATAAAT